AAGTACAGCTCATTGTCATCTCAAGAAACCTGTTTGAGATGAAGTGAGTTTTGTGATATGAAACATTATCCTACTGCCCACATAGCAGACAGGTCTGGCCGGGATCTGGTGTCAAACCAGCACTGCTGGCTGACTTCTGATGGAAGCAGCCATCAGAAGATGGGTACACTGTGATAATTAAGGGACTGACATGGTCTGCAACAATACTCAGGTAGGTCGCTGTGTTTAAACAAGGCTCAATTGGTACCAAGGAGCAGACCAACGTCTGACAAGAAAATATCCTCCCATACCATTATAGTCACTGATACAAAGCTGTATGGATCTATGCTTTATGTTGTTTGCACCATCTAAATACTGGAGCAGAGAAACCAAAACCAGGCAGTGTTTTTCCAATCTCCTATTGTCCAGTTGAGTGAGCTCATGTCAAATATGGCCCCATTTTCCTGTCTTGACAGGAATGACACCTGGTGTGGCCTATCTGCTTCAAGATTAGACATGACTCATTACAAGTGTTGCTTGTAATGAGTCCTAACTCGAATTATTTGTAGTAGTCTGGCATTTTCCCTCTGACTTCTAATACTCTGCCTGGCACCAACAACCATGCCAAGTCTAAAGTTTAAGGCTACGTCCACACGTACACGGGTATTTTGAAAACTGAGATTTTCCGTTTTCGTTTTAAAAAATAATCCCGTCCACACGTAAACGCAGAAATGAAGGAAAACGCTGCTAGGAACATGCCAAAGCAACAGGTGGCGATATATTCCTAACCATGTAGAAATGTTGGCCAATCAGAAGTCTAGAAGCCTCGGTGGGAAATAGTAAACAAGGATGGGCATAGAAGCAGAACCGAGTCGTATGTGTGGAGGGACAGTAACTGTGTGTGTATATGTAAGCATTTAAACACTGCAGAGAGTACAATTAACAGTAATAGTATTGTAGAAATTCATTTCACCGAAACAATAACGTGGCGCACAGTGTGACGTCAAAAAAGGCGCACACCTTTGACGCTGCGTTTTCTCTGTTTTTCTCGTCCACACGTCAACGCAAAAACTGAGTTTTCAAAAATCTCCACCCTGGCCGGAGTTTTTAAAAATCTCAGTTTTCAGTGACCGAAAACGCCGTTTACGTGTGGACGAAAAGTGCAAACGCATAGAAAAATATGCGTTTTCAAAAATACCCGGGTACGTGTGGACGTAGCCTAAATCAGCTTTCTTCCCCTTTCTGATGCTTGGTTTGAACTTCAGGTTGCAGGTTGTTTTTGAGTTGTTGCCAAATGTTGTTTTTTTATTTATTTATTTATGTTAAAGAGAAGCTGAACAGTTGCACACAACAAAGTGGCTGGTCAGTGTATACAGTAGTTTACCTACGAGAAGCAGTTATAATAATAAAATGTTTTAAAAAAAAAAATAAGAATCTTGGGACTAAATTCTTAATTTCTTGTTTTGTTCTTAAAAATCTGTCATATCTTTTCTCAGAATAAGGTTTTTGAATGATATTTATTATTAAATTAATACCTTTATTCATTTAATAATGAATAAAGGTATTCATTAATCAATGCATAAATGAATAGATGCCCTCTGAGTTCTGTGTAATATATGCAAGATCTGTTTTGCTAAATAAGAGACTAAAATTGCTCTGTTCACCTGTGGTCTGTGCAGCAAAATCTAAACCTGAAGCACCACTTTGGGGGGGAAGGAAATTGTCTTCATTCTAACAGAAGAGTATTTGCAATTTGTAACTGTGCTGAAGTTTCAACAGTCTGTGGAGACTCTCACTTCCTCTGTCTGTTTGTAGGATGCAACATTTTACGCTGCCATATCTCTTCTGGAAAGCAGAAATTTCCCTGAAATTTGCGGTTCCTGCAAGGAGACATCTGGAACTTCCCCATGTCACACAGTGATAAACTTGTTCAGATTCCAAACTGGACAGCGGGTTTGTGTACTTGAACGTGACTATTACCGTGTATTGTACTGTTTGTTCAGCACCTCAGTATGCGCAGTATTTAGAATCTGAATAACTCAGAAGCATAACATTTCAATGGCTGTCACTATTATAGATTTTGCTGTCTATGTTGGGCACAGCCCGGTAGTGGTGTTGCTCTTGCAAAAAGAGAGATATTTTTATGATACCAATTTTATTGCTTTTCGAGGTTGCTGCTGACCATGTAGTCATAATACTCATGAACTCACCTAATCACACATTTAGTGCTGAATGAACTTAATTTGTCCTTGACTGCTTGCAGGCCTCCTCAACTTCTAAGTGGATTTTAATTCTCATTTGTTTTTGCAATCCAGCTAACGAGTGACAAAACTTGTTACTTTCTGCAATTCACACATTGGTAAATGACTAATGGACTGTTTCTTACATGGCACTTTGTTACTCAATTTGAGCACTCATAGCACTTTAGAGCATACCTCATTCATCTAGTCACTCAGATTCATACAAGCACTTTCTTTCTTTGCCTAAGTAAATGGTAAGTGGTAAATGGATTGATTCTTATATAGCGCTTTTCTACTCAAAGCACTCAAAGCGCTTTACACAGCATTCACCCAATCACACAAACACTTTCTTCTGTGCTTTTAAGTTCTCACTAACTAACTAACTACTACTCATTCATACTCCTGGATGCATCAGAGAGCAACTTAGGGTTAGTATCTTGCCCAACATGCAGACTGGGGGAGCCTGCTCTACCTCCTGAGCTACCGCCAGCATAAGCGGTTTCTAGCTAGCATTCACACACCTTCACACTCTGATGAATGCATTAAAAAGCAACTTATTGTTCAGTATCTTACCCAAGAATACTGGCTGCTCTGGCTCCTGAGCTACAGTTAACCTACTACATTCCTGACGTTCTGATCCATAGTTTAGTTTACCTAAAGTTTAGGGAAACTTTATTTTAGGTAAACTAAAGTTTAGGTAAACTAGTTTAGTTTTTTTTCTGCAACTAATGGAAGCTATTTTGACAAGTTGTTATTCTGTTGTACAGTGTAATAAACACTTCATTGGCACATTTAGAATATTAGAAGATTATATTTTATATAAATAACCATCTGATATTTTAGTGTACAAAAGTAACTTTGCTCACTTCAGCAAAGCACAACAGAGAACTACACTGATCATTATAAACTCTTTTCTGTGCTCCTCTTGAAATAAATTAGCCAAACTGGCATTTATAAACTCAGCAGGGATAGCACTTCAGGCAAAATCCCAAATTAGAAAAGATGCCCCCCTTCCAAATGTTGGAAAGTGAAATATAACATTTCTTGTTAACTAAGGAGAAAATCCTGCCTTTTTTTCTTCTTTGTTTTAAAGGGAGCATCAGAATTCTGTTATGATGTTGGAAGGATTCAGAGTGTAGTGTATCTATATAAATATACATTAAACCTTTTAATGGTCAACATAATCACCACATTGTTATAGTTCGAAAAAAAAAAAACGGTGGCTTCGTGACTCTCGTGCTTTGCATTATAATCATTGTGTGCTTTAATCTTAAGGCAAATATTAAAACGTAATTTCTAACCTTTTACTGGAATTGAGAGAATAGCAATTCCGTGAATACGAGTCACTTCATACCTGTTCTGCATGACTAGCAGAGGCAGGTTTTGTAATCCTATTCTCACACTTAGTTTCACCATCTAAAACACAAATTCAGTGAAAGCCACAATCAAACAAACACCTTTTCACTGTAACCTTACACTGTAGCAGGAAGTGGTACCCGAATCAGTGTATTTTTAATCCTTTGGTCTAATGTTTAGGTTGTCTCAGGGTGGTTGTTGAACCAATTTAGTGTTGTTACTGCACTGAAGTGCCTTTTAACTGAGTATGTGCCAATAGTTACTACAGAAAACTAGAGTGATAAGTATTAGTAGGAACGTTTTGGTTTTACCTGAGGATTATGCACTTGCAGACACATTTAAAATCCTTTTCTCTTTAACTCTACTGATATTTAACACAAAAACTATTGTGCTGCACACATTACAGCAAAGTGAGTGTTGACTGATGATTGTGCAAACATATTTTTTCTCGTGGAAGGAAACTCCGCCCTTCATTCCAGTTTGCTGCACATGAATACGTTTTCCACTTTTGTATCCCCCATAGATGGACCAACAACTTGAAGCCCACCAAACTCCTGAAATCAGTGAACAAATATCACCACACCATTTAAACTTTTTTTTTTAACATAATATAATTATTAACGGAGGCAAAACAACTTAACTGTATTTACCACTACCCACTTTGATTTCATGACCATGCTCACAGAGCCATTGTTTAGTTATTATTCTGGCTCATTAACAAAAATAACAGATTTTTATTTTCCTATAAACAGTCCAACAAGGATACAATTCTATGTAGAGGCACATTACACTGGTGGTTACGGTGGCCCTGAGAGGCCAAACGGACTGCAACTAAAGAAAACACCAGCAATATGAAAACCGCTGCAAAAGCACACAAAACACAACGGAAATGGAAAAAAAATAAAATAGAAATAGGAAAAAACTGATTTCCAAAAGCACAAGAGAAGTGTTTCGGGGGAGACAATAACCGACGGACCAGTTGCAGGAACCAAAATATGCTAAGCATTGCGCTGTGAGACATTTAAAAGTGGAGGATCTAGGCACCTCACTGACCATGTGGGTGCCTGTGAACAGTGACCTGAGAATCATTCAAGCATAAAAATCACTCAAAGGATGAACCAGTGTTGTATCTACACTGTGGCGGGCGTGGTCGGTGGTGCCGCAGCAGGGAAGGCGGACACTCCCACTAAACTGAGTAAATAAAAAGGGGCAAGTTCTGACAGAACAGTTATTCTAAGAAACTTCCTCGTCTCATTTACAAAGGTAAGAGATATTTTCACAGGATTTCAGTCAGAAATTGTGGGTCAAAAAAGGCATTTAGATAATGTCTTCAAATTCTTTTAATTGTGATGTCACAATTTTAACTGCTTACATTTCCAAATCAGTGCTAAGAGTGATTATAATTCTCCCCCTACCAGGATTTGAAAAATGGTGCAGTATAAAGTGACCGTATTCACTGGTGATCGCCTTAATTCCACTACTCTCAACAATGTCTACATTAAGCTGGTGGGCACAGATGGGGAGAGTGATCGCAAGTGGCTCATGGGCTTGAAAGGGGCTTCATCCTTCGTCAGAGGAGCTGTAAGTCTGGGATGGCCACCTCCATGATTTTTTCAGGTTCCCTATATGACATTATACATGCAAACTTTTAGGGAAATAAGGGAATTATTAACTGTGATTTATGTAAAGTTGAAATCTATCACCATGAAGATGGTCAAAGCAAACAGTTGACTTCATGGACCACAGTAAATTATAAGAGGAATTGTATGCTCGAGTGTTACAGCTCAGCACAAACTGCTATGTCATTTCTTTAGGTATCAAAGTTTAAGGTGTCCTGCTCCACTTCCCTTGGAAATCTTGTGCTGATAGAGTTAGACAAACAGTCTCTCCCACTGTTCCCAGAAGATGATTGGTTTTGTGCCAAGGTGGAAGTGAAATCCCCTGAAGGAGACATCTACAGCTTTCCCGTCTACCGCTGGATTGCTGATAGCAAGGTGCACCGCTTCAAAGATGGAAAAGGTTTGGGAAACTGTGCTCATCTTAAATCTTGTTCAAACCATTGCAGATGTAAAACAAAGTTTGTAATGAGGCTGAAGCAGTTTCCTAATACAGTATATACCATATTTACAAGAACAACTTGAAACCATTTTTTCTTAATTAGCTCTGAGAGTCTTTGAAGACAACCATCATCTTGGCAGGTACAGTCGGCAGCAAGAGATTCAGCAGCGAGAGGAAGACTATCGGTGAGAATTCAGAGCTTATACATATTTTGGCCTTACAGCTCCTGAAACTAGAATACAAATGCTGTCCAGTTATAGCTGAATATCCTAATACTAATGATATTTAACCTTAAAATTAAGCATTACAATATATTGTTTGTCTGCTGGGATTAATTTAAAAATGCATTGTAAACTATATTATTCATATATTATGTTTTGTGAATTGAAACTGCAATTTCTTTTTCTCAGCTGGGATGCATATGCAGAGGGAATACCTCACTCCTTGAAGGCACAAAACCCAATTTTTCTGCCATCAGAGGTTCAGTTCTCCTTCACCAAAACTACAGAGTTTGTCTACACTGCTTCCACAGGGTGAAGTTCTTTTTTTTCTCTTTACCTATCAAAACTATAACTATGTTAAATATAATAAAGAAATAAGATGAATGTGCTCTTCTGTTTCAGACTGACTGAGCTGAAGCTGAAGGGACTGGATAACCGTAAGGAGAAGTGGGATAATATTGACAGCATCAATCGAGTGTTTTGCTGCAAAAAGACTGAAATATCAGGTAACTAACATCATAGTTGGAGTATCGAGTACTTATACTTTGTGCATAATAATATGTACTTAACTGTTACCTTTGAAGTATTACTATATCAGTATACATAGTCGATTTTCCTGAATAATAAGAACATTATACAGTCTGTTCTGCAAAAACATATATATTATATATGTTTATAGCTATTGATTGATGTTTAAAACTGAGAATATAAAGTCTCATTTTATCTTATGACAGGTGATCTAACAAGTAGAATATGGTTTCAATATCTAATAAAGCTCACTAGAGAGAGCTTATGACTTTTTATACATTTCACATAATCAAGACTCTCAGACACTGAACTTCTGACACAAAGTTAGAAATGTAGCAAAATTTGTAGGCTAGTTTAAAAAAGGAACATATTCTTTTTCTTTTTCTTTTTTTTTTTTGCAGAATATGTTCAGGAACACTGGAAAGAAGATGCTTTCTTTGGCTACCAGTTTCTAAATGGTGTCAACCCCATTTTGATCCAGTGTTGTACAACCCTGCCCAGTAACTTCCCTGTCACTGATGACATGGTCTTTCCCCGCAGTCGTTGCGACCTTGCAGATGAAATGAAGGTGACTGTAGAAAGACACAAAAAAAGGAGAAAGAAATGTTTCTTAAATCAGCTACTTGGTCATTGCAATAAATGCACTTACACATTCACTGAATATACACACTGCTGAAATAACCTGAACTTTCAAACAGAAAGGGAACATATTCCTGTGTGACTACAAGCTTCTGGATGGAGTGAAAGCAAACACCATCAATGGGAAGAAGCAGTATTTGATGGCTCCTCTCGTCCTGCTCCACAAAGATCCTGATAATAAACTAATGCCGATTGCTATTCAGGTAATTCAGTTCAGATGAGCTTTATTTACATAGCAAAATATATATATTTTCTATGGTAAATATGAGAGGAAAATCCCAATAATCAGGCAATTCTTTGTGAGCAAGCACTTTGGCAACTGGAAAGGAAAACTCCCTTTTTAACAGGAAGAAACCTCTGTCAGAAGCCACCTCCCACGACAAGTTGGGAGTGAGGGGAGAGGGAGAAGGACAAAAGACATGCTGTAGAAGAAAGACGGATATTAAAAATAACTAATAATTTGACTTATCACTTGACCCTGTCCTTGTATAGCTGAAGCAGACTCCATCAGATGACAATCCGATCTTTCTTCCTACTGATTCTGAGTACGACTGGTTGATCGCCAAGATTTTTGTAAGAAGTGCAGATTTCAATCACCATCAGCTCAATGCTCACCTTCTGCGCACGCACTTGCTGGCTGAGGTTTTTGCAGTGTCACTGCTGCGCAACGTGCCCATGGTGCATCCTCTGTACAAGGTAACTGACGTTTGCTGAAACTCAGTGTTTTGGTTTGTAAATAATTTTAAATAACGTTGAAAGCATTTGAGTTTATCAATGTGTCCACAAAGGACATTTGATTGTGCAACAGCGTATCTCAGCATAATAAATGCCAAAGTTTTGCCCCAATCTAGCACTAACAGAGTTCCCTCTTTCCCTCAGCTCCTCAAACTTCACACACGCTACACTCTGCAGATCAACTTCTTAGCTCGACGCCTTCTCATTTCTGAGATTGGCGCTTTCACTCAGGTATGCAAAGAACAGCACACTCACTAGACCTTTACCTAAATAACTGTTTCTTTTTCAGTGTCATGTACAACATTTGTCTCTAACTGTGAGCTACCCATTCTCTAGTTTGCATCATCAGGTGGAGAGGGCATGTTTACAATCCTGAAGAGGTCAGTGTCCTCAATGACCTACAGCTCCCTCTGTATGCCAGATAACATTGCTGAACGTGGCCTAGAAGCTGTGCCAAACTTCTACTACAGGGATGATGGCCTAAAGGTTTGGGATATCATCCACAGGTATGGTAGTTTTGCCCTCTTAATGACGCCACCAAGCTGCTGCAGTTCTGTTATAACAATAATATTTTATTATTTGTTAGTTTATTATTTTTATTTTATTTATGTCATTTTACAATTCTGTTTTCCATCCATCCATCGTCTTCCGCTTATCGGGGGCCGGGTCGCGGGGGCAGCATCCTAAGCAGAGAAGCCCAGACCTCCCTCTCCCCAGCTACCTCCTCCAGCTTGTCTGGGGGAACACCAAGGTGTTCCCAGGCCAGCCAAGAGATATAATCTCTCCTGCGTGTCTTGGGTCTGCCCTGGGCCTCCTCCCGGATTCTGGGAGTTGGCCCAGGACCGGGAACATTATTTTTTCAATTTGGTTTCCCAATAAAAGATCATTGAAAAAATGAACACAAAATTAACACACAAGAAAGAGATGAAAACAGGCGCTGTTGGAATGCTACTAAGCAAGTAACCCCAGTGGAAGGGTTACGTGACTAGGATGAGGGACCTATGGAATCTTCGATACCCAGCATCCAGATTGATGGCGAAACAACTTGGGGAATGTTTTCCAACATTCAGAAGATGGAACTGCTCAGACAGCTAGAGATTGACGAGGTACAACACAAATGCTACGGCAAGGGGAAGCTAGGATGACAGGTCAAGGGGGAGATATCATCACCTCCACCTGAGATTGGGTGGGGGCCCCAAGTGCGATGGAAGAAGGATCATTGAGCACGAGAGGAACTGACCTGAGAGATAAGATCATGGCAAAGCTGGAAACCTGGATCCTTCATGGCTGGTTACTAAGACTATGTGAAGTACCCTCAGAAGATCTACTAGATCAGGGGTGTCGAACCCCAGGCCTCAAGGGCCGGTGTCCTGCAGGTTTTATATGTGTCCTTGATCCATCACAGCTGATTTAAATGGATAAATTACCTCCTCAAAATGTCTTGAAGTTCTCCAGAGGTCTGGTTATGAACTAATCATTCGATTCACATGCGTGATATCTAAAACCTGTAGGACACCTGCCCTCGAGGCCTGGAGTTTGACACCCGTATACTAGATGATGTGAATGCTGCACTATGGACAAGACTGAGACTAACCAGCTGATCTACACCACGGCAACAGTGATCAGTGAGATACTTCGCTACAAGTTCAACAGCCACAAGGAGCAGTGCCCTACATGGAGAAGGAGAATAGAGGCCAAGATAAGGGTAGCACGGAGGGAGGTTAGCCAACTATCGGAGCTGCAGAAAGGTGCAATGAAAAAGGTGCTACGGCCAAGCAAAGACTCATAGCCTTGGCAAACTTGAAGAGGTACACCAAAGAGATAGAAAGCAGGAGAATAAACCAGCTGTTCTCCACAGAACCAGCCATGGTGTACTCTTAATGGCAGGGGAACAATATGAGAATAGCAGCACCAAGGCTGGAAACAGAGCAATAGTGGAAGAGCATATGGGAGAAGAACCCAACCCATGGCATCAATGCTCAGTGGCTAGTGGATCTAAGAGCAGACCACAGCAATCTCCGTGAACAGAGTCATTCAAGAAAGGGTCTCCAGTATGAAGAGTTGGACAGCACCAGGCCCTGACTTGATTCACGCCTACTGGCTGAAGAAGCTGACTGCAGTCCACGAGTGTCTGACAGCACAAATGAACCAGCTTCTAGTCGATGAGAGACACTGAAAATGGAAATACCAGAAGAGCAAAACACCAGCTACTGGTAGACAAAGCAGTCGCTTAAAACTGCAAGACTAGGCTGACCAACCTGTGCACTGCCTGGATTGGTTACAAAAGGCCTATGACTCAATGCCCCACACCACTTCCTGTGGGGCATTCCTCTATCTGCTGGTGGAATGTACCACAGGCAGATAGAGGAAGTGGCTGACATCCAGAAATCCTACCAGTGACTGGACAAAGCTGGAGTGAAAGACAACACAGAGACACTAATCTTGGCAGCACAGGAACAAGCTCCATAGAGGCTGGGGTCTATCACATCAGGCAAGACCCCAGTTGCATGCTGTGTAAAAATGCCCCTGAGATAATCCAGCACATAAGAGTAGACTGCAAGATGCTAGCAGGCAGGGGCATGGAGCGCCATAATCAAGTGGCCGGTGCGGAGTATGGCCTGGAAGTCCCGAGGTCAAAATAGGAGGCGCCGCGTAGGATGGTTGAGTGATCAAGCTAAGCAAGTACCACAGGAAGTTCTGTGGTTCCTGTAGGCACTCAGATGAGACATTAGTATATTAAGTTCAGCTTTAAGTACAGACTAATGTTAAACATTGTTCAATTTTTTAAATTAAAGTTTCTCAGAAGGTGTTAGTACTTCTCTTAAAATGAAAGGTGTGTCTAATACTTACAGATATCTACCATCCCTAAGTAAAATGAATGAAATAAATAATGAAAGCATATTTCATCCAATTTCTCAAAGGTTTGTGCAGGGAATGCTCGGCTACTACTACAAGAGTGACAGTGAAGTCCAGCAGGACTCTGAACTTCAGAAGTGGATTTTGGACATTTTGAACATGGTTTCTTTTCTCAAGCAGAAACAGGTTGGCTTCAAAGAAATGTTCAGTTCTTATTATGATAAAGTTGATTGATCCTTAGTACTGAGATGTTACATCACTGATGATGTGTCCAGGGGCACCAGAGGGTGTATCATAAACAGTATATATAATTATAATCCAAACATAAATCCAATTTTTGTTTGTTCACCTCAATGCAATTGATGCTGGGGGGGGGGGGGGGGGTTTCTGCTCAACAGGAATTCCTCAGACATTTACTTGTGTGACTGAGTTGGTCAAGTTTGTCACCATGGTGATCTTCACTTGCTCAGCCCAGCATGCAGCCGTGAACTCTGGACAGGTGAGTCCTTGTATAAACAGTTTCACTTTTTTTTTTTAAACAACAGTGCATGAACATCTGAGAACCTAGGAGACCTTTGGGAGAGCAATGATGATCCATCTCATTTAGGATTCTAGCTGCTCAACAGTCCTGGGTCTTTATCCTGTTCTTCATTTCATGATGTATCAAATGTTTTCAACTGGTGAATGGTCTAGTCTGCAGCAAGGCAAGTTCAGCATCCAGACTCTTCCATAATGAAACTATGATGTGATAGGTGCAATATGGGGTTCAGCACTGTCTTGCTGAAATATGTAAGTCCTTCTCTGAAAAGATGTCATCTGGATGAGAGCATGTGTTGCTCTAAAACCAAACTGTATTTATGTATATTTACATCTGAGAAACTCTGGCTCTCTAACATACTCTGTTTATACCCAGTCATGGTACTGACAAGCTGCAGTTGTTGAGGCATTTCTTCCAAAATCAGTGAAGTTAAACTAAACTGGTCATGCAAAGAGAAAATGTGAATAATTATATAAATAGTACCATAAAACTACAGGTACTATATCACCAATATAAAAAAAAGAAAGAAAGAAGGAATTATACATTAAACGCCATTATTACACCATCATTTTACTTTTTAATCAGTTATCTTTTACTTCTTGATCAAATGCAGTATGACTATGGTGGCTGGATGCCCAACACTCCCATCTCCCTGCAACTCCCGCCACCGACCACAAAGGGGACGACAAGCGAGGCCACAATGTTGGCGACCTTCCCTGACGTCAATGTAACAGTTAAGGGCATGGCCACCGTGTGGTTACTCAGCAAGCAGTCCAGTGACTTTGTAAGCAGCAAAGATTTCATTAAGAATGACAGGAATTATGTCTGAATTTAATTTTTGTAAACACATTACAACTGTATACAATCATTCCAAGAGCCTATTTTGAATAAAAACAAATAATTGTTTTAATTGAATTTTGTTGAAGAAAACTTAAATGTATCATTGTTCTCATCAGGTCCCTCTTGGCCAGTACCCGGAGGAGCATTTCATTGAGGAAATTCCTCGCAAAATACTAAAGGATTTTCAGATGGAGCTTGAAGATTTAAGTTTAGTTATTAAAGCCAGAAACAAGCGTTTAGAAGTGCCATACACCTACATGGATCCGGCAGAGTTAGAAAACAGTGTGGCCATTTGAATATTAGAAGACTCAGCTGTGAGACAAAATTCAGTTCCCTCTTCAAACAACAGCAGGGAAAGACCTCTAAGTTCTGACTTTTACTGATGAAATAGAACAAAGAACTTACTACTTATAATCACTATATACTAAACTGTAATTTTTTTCATCTGTGTTAAAATGTGATTCTTTTTTTGCATTACAATCTTGAATCATCTGATTTGAAATGAAAAATGTTTGATTTTTGGGGGTGTCTGTTTTGAGACAGTTGATCTCCTGATCATGATGTATTTTCTTCTTAGAAAACATTTACTGCATTTCATTGTTTATATTTTCATTATTTTAATGTTTCAATTTTCTTGAGCTAAACCCAAACAGCTTTTTGATGAGTTAGACAACATGAACACCCTAAACTTCGCCTGAGACTGCTACTTCATCTCGGCCACCAATGTGCACTTGGTTTCTTTGTTTCTTTGCTGAAACCTGATTGTATTTTAGCATCATATTCTAAATTATCAGTTCTCTAAAGCCTCATTTAATGCATGGCACAGATTAAACACACATGGCTCACAGACATTAACAAGATGGGTCTGCATTATCCACATTAGCCTGCTTATACTGTTGACATGTGTAGCATATTTATTTAACACTGCAAAATAGAGTGATGTTTACATAGGCCACTGTATTTTGTGTAGATACCATCTCAGTGGCAAAAATGTGATTATATTCAATTCAGTTCAATTTATATAGCACCAAATCTCAACAACAGTCATCTCAATTCAGAATGTGATAATATCAATTTCCTTTACACTCACTGGGCACATTATTAGGTACACCTTGCTAGCACAAAGCTAGAACAAAGTGTTGGAAATATTCTTCAGTTGCTGCAGATTTGTCAGCTACACATCCATGATGTGAATCAAAGCTTATCTACTGGGTTGAGATCTTATGACTTTGACCATTTAAGTACAGCTCATTGTCATCTCAAGAAACCTGTTTGAGATGAAGTGAGTTTTGTGATATGAAACATTATCCTACTGCCCACATAGCAGACAGGTCTGGCCGGGATCTGGTGTCAAACCAGCACTGCTGGCTGACTTCTGATGGAAGCAGCCATCAGAAGATGGGTACACTGTGATAATTAAGGGACTGACATGGTCTGCAACAATACTCAGGTAGGTCGCTGTGTTTAAACAAGGCTCAATTGGTACCAAGGAGCAGACCAACGTCTGACAAGAAAATATCCTCCCATACCATTATAGTCACTGATACAAAGCTGTATGGATCTATGCTTTTATGTTGTTTGCACCATCTAAATACTGGAGCAGAGAAACCAAAACCAGGCAGTGTTTTTCCAATCTCCTATTGTCCAGTTGAGTGAGCTCATGTCAAATATGGCCCCATTTTCCTGTCTTGACAGGAATGACACCTGGTGTGGCCTATCTGCTTCAAGATTAGACATGACTCATTACAAGTGTTGCTTGTAATGAGTCCTAACTCGAATTATTTGTAGTAGTCTGGCATTTTCCCTCTGATTTCTAATACTCTGCCTGGCACCAACAACCATGCCAAGTCTAAAGTTTAAGGCTACGTCCACACGTACACGGGTATTTTGAAAACTGAGATTTTCCGTTTTCGTTTTAAAAAATAATCCCGTCCACACGTAAACGCAGAAATGAAGGAAAACGCTGCTAGGAACATGCCAAAGCAACAGGTGGCGATATATTCCTAACCATGTAGAAATGTTGGCCAATCAGAAGTCTAGAAGCCTCGGTGGGAAATAGTAAACAAGGATGGGGCATAGAAGCAGAACCGAGTCGTATGTGTGGAGGGACAGTAACTGTGTGTGTATATGTAAGCATTTAAACACTGCAGAGAGTACAATTAACAGTAATAGTATTGTAGAAATTCATTTCACCGAAACAATAACGTGGCACACAGTGTGACGTCAAAAAAGGCGCACACCTTTGACGCTGCGTTTTCTCTGTTTTTCTCGTCCACACGTCAACGCAAAAACTGAGTTTTCAAAAATCTCCACCCTGGCCGGAGTTTTTAAAAATCTCAGTTTTCAGTGACCGAAAACGCCGTTTACGTGTGGACGAAAAGTGCAAACGCATAGAAAAATCTGCGTTTTCAAAAATACCCGGGTACGTGTGGACGTAGCCTAAATCAGCTTTCTTCCCCTTTCTGATGCTTGGTTTGAACTTCAGGTTGCAGGTTGTTTTTGAGTTGTTGCCAAATGTTGTTGTTGTTGTTGTTTTTTTATTTATGTTAAAGAGAAGCTGAACAGTTGCACACAACAAAGTGGCTGGTCAGTGTATACAGTAGTTTACCTACGAGAAGCAGTTATAATAATAAAATGTTTTAAAAAAAAAATAAGAATCTTGGGACTAAATTCTTAATTTCTTGTTTTGTACTTAAAAATCTGTCATATATTTTTTCTGAAAAAGGTTTTTGAATGATATTTATTATTAAATTAATACCTTTATTCATTTAATAATGAATAAAGGTATTCATTAATCAATGCATAAATGAATAGATGCCCTCTGAGTTCTGTGTAATATATGCAAGATCTGTTTTGCTAAATAAGAGACTAAAATTGCTCTGTTCACCTGTGGTCTGTGCAGCAAAATCTAAACCTGAAGCACCACTTTGGGGGGGAAGGAAATTGTCTTCATTCTAACAGAAGAGTATTTGCAATTTGTAACTGTGCTGAAGTTTCAACAGTCTGTGGAGACTCTCACTTCCTCTGTCTGTTTGTAGGATGCAACATTTTATGCTGCCATATCTCTTCTGGAAAGCAGAAATTTCCCTGAAATTTGCGGTTCCTGCAAGGAGACATCTGGAACTTCCCCATGTCGCACAGTGATAAACTTGTTCAGATTCCAAACTGGACAGCGGGTTTGTGTACTTGAACGTGACTATTACCGTGTATTGTACTGTTTGTTCAGCACCTCAGTATGTGCAGTATTTAGAATCTGAATAACTCAGAAGCATAACATTTCAATGGCTGTCACTATTATAGATTTTGCTGTCTATGTTGGGCACAGCCCGGTAGTGGTGTTGCTCTTGCAAAAAAGAGAGATATTTTTATGATACCAATTTTATTGCTTTTCGAGGTTGCTGCTGACCATGTAGTCATAATACTCCTGAACTCACCTAATCACACATTTAGTGCTGAATGAACTTAATTTGTCCTTGACTGCTTGCAGGCCTCCTCAACTTCTAAGTGGATTTTAATTCTCATTTGTTTTTGCAATCCAGCTAACGAGTGACAAAACTTGTTACTTTCTGCAATTCACACATTGGTAAATGACTAATGGACTGTTTCTTACATGGCACTTTGTTACTCAATTTGAGCACTCATAGCACTTTAGAGCATACCTCATTCATCTAGTCACTCAGATTCATACAAGCACTTTCTTTCTTTGCCTAAGTAAATGGTAAGTGGTAAATGGATTGATTCTTATATAGCGCTTTTCTACTCAAAGCACTCAAAGCGCTTTACTCAGCATTCACCCAATCACACAAACACTTTCTTCTGTGCTTTTAAGTTCTCACTAACTAACTAACTACTACTCATTCATACTCCTGGATGCATCAGAGAGCAACTTAGGGTTAGTATCTTGCCCAACATGCAGACTGGGGGAGCCTGCTCTACCTCCTGAGCTACCGCCAGCATAAGCGGTTTCTAGCTAGCATTCACACACCTTCACACTCTGATGAATGCATTAAAAAGCAACTTATTGTTCAGTATCTTACCCAAGAATACTGGCTGCTCTGGCTCCTGAGCTACAGTTAACCTACTACATTCCTGACGTTCTGATCCATAGTTTAGTTTACCTAAAGTTTAGGGAAACTTTATTTTAGGTAAACTAAAGTTTAGGTAAACTAGTTTAGTTTTTTTTCTGCAACTAATGGAAGCTATTTTGACAAGTTGTTATTCTGTTGTACAGTGTAATAAACACTTCATTGGCACATTTAGAATATTAGAAGATTATATTTTATATAAATAACCATCTGATATTTTAGTGTACAAAAGTAACTTTGCTCACTTCAGCAAAGCACAACAGAGAACTACACTGATCATTATAAACTCTTTTCTGTGCTCCTCTTGAAATAAATTAGCCAAACTGGCATTTATAAACTCAGCAGGGATAGCACTTCAGGCAAAATCCCAAATTAGAAAAGATGCCCCCCTTCCAAATGTTGGAAAGTGAAATATAACATTTCTTGTTAACTAAGGAGAAAATCCTGCCTTTTTTTCTTCTTTGTTTTAAAGGGAGCATCAGAATTCTGTTATGATGTTGGAAGGATTCAGAGTGTAGTGTATCTATATAAATATACATTAAACCTTTTAATGGTCAACATAATCACCACATTGTTATAGTTCGAAAAAAAAACGGTGGCTTCGTGACTCTCGTGCTTTGCATTATAATCATTGTGTGCTTTAATCTTAAGGCAAATATTAAAACGTAATGATTTTTTTTATTGTTATCATATAAGTTTGCTGGCAATTAAACATGAGACAAAATCAATGAAAAATTTTAATTAGGAGATTTTAAAATGAGCTGTTTAGATTTGTGGATTTAATGTCAGAGACGTAACACTAACCAGTTCTACACATCAGAAATCTCCAAGACCGTTGAATCATGCAGGTCATGAAATGACTTTATACTTCATACTTTAAAGCGAGTCTGCTCTTGCTATTGATTTCAACCTAATTTCTAACCTTTTACTGGAATTGAGAGAATAGCAATTCTGTGAATACGAGTCACTTCATACCTGTTCTGCATGACTAGCAGAGGCAGGTTTTGTAATCCTATTCTCACACTTAGTTTCACCATCTAAAACACAAATTCAGTGAAAGCCACAATCAAACAAACACCTTTTCACTGTAACCTTACACTGTAGCAGGAAGTGGTACCCGAATCAGTGTATTTTTAATCCTTTGGTCTAATGTTTAGCTTGTCTCAGGGTGGTTGTTGAACCAATTTAGTGTTGTTACTGCACTGAAGTGCCTTTTAACTGAGTATGTGCCAATAGTTACTACAGAAAACTAGAGTGATAAGTATTAGTAGGAACGTTTTGGTTTTACCTGAGGATTATGCACTTGCAGACACATTTAAAATCCTTTTCTCTTTAACTCTACTGATATTTAACACAAAAACTATTGTGCTGCACACATTACAGCAAAGTGAGTGTTGACTGATGATTGTGCAAACATATTTTTTCTCGTGGAAGGAAACTCCGCCCTTCATTCCAGTTTGCTGCACATGATTACGTTTTCCACTTTTGTATCCCCCATAGATGGACCAACAACTTGAAGCCCACCAAACTCCTGAAATCAGTGAACAAATATCACCACACCATTTAAACTTTTTTTTTTTTTACATAATATAATTATTAACGGAGGCAAAACAACTTAACTGTATTTACCACTACCCACTTTGATTTCATGACCATGCTCACAGAGCCATTGTTTAGTTATTATTCTGGCTCATTAACAAAAATAACAGATTTTTATTTTCCTATAAACAGTCCAACAAGGATACAATTCTATGTAGAGGCACATTACACTGGTGGTTACGGTGGCCCTGAGAGGCCAAACGGACTGCAACTAAAGAAAACACCAGCAATATGAAAACCGCTGCAAAAGCACACAAAACACAACGGAAATGGAAAAAAAATAAAATAGAAATAGGAAAAAACTGATTTCCAAAAGCACAAGAGAAGTGTTTCGGGGGAGACAATAACCGACGGACCAGTTGCAGGAACCAAAATATGCTAAGCATTGCGCTGTGAGACATTTAAAAGTGGAGGATCTAGGCACCTCACTGACCATGTGGGTGCCTGTGAACAGTGACCTGAGAATCATTCAAGCATAAAAATCACTCAAAGGATGAACCAGTGTTGTATCTACACTGTGGCGGGCGTGGTCGGTGGTGCCGCAGCAGGGAAGGCGGACGCACCTGCGCTGCATCACAGTCACGCCTCGCCAGCTTAAAATCTGCTCTGCCTGCTGTGTGTTGTTGTTGTAGAAGTGTTCAGCTGCAAGCTGTGTATGTAACATGACAGCAAATGACATGACAGCGGTAAATAAAAGAATAAAGATACGTGAAAGCATCTTCATGTCGTCGGGTCAGCCGTGGTCATTTAAATACACACCACTTAGCAAAGAGGGTATTTTAACTTTTAACTTTGTCTTTATATTTTATGACTGGTAGCTTCCTTTAAAATATAATTTATTCCAATATCTTTCACTGAATTTATAGAAAAGGCCTTAGCTCTTAGCCAAAAACCTGGCATATAGTATGCAGTGTATCCTCCAAAAAATTGAGGTAATTGAACAAGGCCTGCTACAAAAGAACGTAGCAGGCCTAAGAAACTATCTACAGCAGATCAACATCTGAAAGTCATCTTTTTACCATATATGTATAACATATATAAATAAATTCAACAAAGACCTGACACCGGACCTGAAACATGCATCTGGCCCTTCAGCTGATCCAGCTTATCAAAACTTCATCATAAATGGTCTCTGTCACGGCCTGGGGGATCAGCAGGATGCTGATCGGCTATTTCTACCTTTTTCTCTCTCTTGCTCTCTCTCTACTCCTCTCTGTCGCCGGGGCGGAACTCATTGTGGCTTCACGCCTTCGGCCCACGGAAGGGCGTGATGCCCATTAAGGCGATTAGCATTTGAGCCAGCTGGTCTTCGTTGGATCGTTGTCTACCATGCGTCAAAGCTAGAGCTCAGTTAAGTCAAGAGTCTATTATGAACGTCCATCCATCTTCATCCGCTTTATCCGGGGCCGGGTCGCGGGGGCAGCAGCCTAAGCAGAGAGGCCCAGACCTCCCTCTCCCCAGCCACCTCCTCCAGCTTATCCAGGGGAACACCAAGGCGTTCCCAGGCCAGCCGAGAGATATAATCTCTCCAGCGTGTCCTGGGTCGCCTCCTCCCGGTGGGGCATGCCTGGAACACCTCACCCAGGAGGCGCCCAGGAGGCATCCTTGTCAGATGCCCGAACCACCTCAGCTGGCTCCTTTCGATGTGGAGGAGCAGCGGCTCTACTCTGAGCCCCTCCCGGATGGCCGAACTTCTCACCCTATCTCTAAGGGAGAGGCCAGCCACCCTTCAGAGGAAGTTCATTTCTGCTGCTTGTATCCGTGATCTCGTTCTTTCGGTCACTACCCACAGCTCGTGGCCATAGGTGAGGGTAGGGACGTAGATCGACCAGTAAATTGAGAGCTTCGCTTTTACACTCAGCTCCCTCTTCACCACGACGGACCGGTGCAGCGTCTGCATCACTGCAGCTGCAGCCCCAATCCGTCTGTCGATCTCCGGCTCCCTTCTCCCATCACTCGCGAACAAGACCCCGAGACACTTGAACTCCTCCACTTGGGGCAGGAACTCATCCCCGACCCGGAGTGGGCACTCCACCCTTTTCCGGCTGAGAACCATGGCCTCAGATTTGGAGGTGCTGATCCTCATTCCCGCTGTTTCACACTCAGCTGCGAACCGCTCCAGTGCGAGCTGGAGACCCTCACCCGATGAAGCCAACAGAACCACATCATCCGCAAAAAGTAGAGATGAGATTATGAGGCCACCAAAGCGAAAGCCCTCCGCCACTTGGCTGCGCCTAGAAATCCTGTCCATAAAAATTATGAACAGAACCGGAGACAAAGGGCAGCCCTGGCGGAGCCCATCACCCACCGGGAACGAGTCCGACTTATTGCCGGCAATGCGAACCAAGCTCTTGCAACGGTTGTATAGGGATCGAATGGGCCGTAGCAATGGGCCAGACACCCCATACTCCCGCAACACCTCCCACAGGACACCCCGAGGGACATGGTCGAATGCCTTCTCCGAGTCCACAAAACACATGTAGACTGGTTGGGCAAACTCCCATGCACCCTCAAGTATCCTTGAGAGGATAAAGAGCTGGTCCAGTGTTCTGCGACCAGGATGAAAACCGCATTGTTCCTCCTGTATCCGAGGTTCGATTAGCGGACGAACTCCCCTTTCCAGCACCCTGGCATAGACTTTCCCAGGGAGGCTGAGGAGTGTGATCCCCCTGTAGTTGGAACACACCCTCCAGTCTCCCTTCTTAAAGATGGGGACCACCACCCCGGTCTGCCAGTCCAGGGGTACTGCCCCTGATCTCCACGCAACATTGTAGAGGCGTGTCAACCAGGACAGCCCTACAACGTCCAGAGTTTTCAGGAACTCGGGGGCAGACCTCATCAACACCAGGGGCTCTGCCACCAAGGAGTTGTTTAACTGCCTCAGTGACCTCGCCCCCGGAAACTGGCGGGTCATTCCCCTCATCCCCAGACTCTGCTTCCTCCTCAGAAGATGTGTCAGTGGGATTAAGGAGGTCCTCGAAGTATTCCTTCCACCGCCTGACAATTTTCGCAGTCGACGTCAACAGCATGAACGTTGTAATTAATTCTCGTTTCCTCATCTACAGACCTCCTGAATACCTTCCCTGTGTGAATCATTGTGTCAAGTGTGGAGAGTGGAACTGCGGTTGTGAGTGTGGAGAATTGGAGAACGAGTGACTACCCCTTTGGATTTCCCTGGAGCCTCATCCCTCACTTTGTTGTATATAGCGCTGCCCTGCACTTCCTGTATAAACACCTGGTGGATTCTGTAAATAAATTCTTGTGTACAGCTGATTCTGGAGTCCTGCGCTTGAGTGCCCACGTTGAACCATAACAGTCTCAGTGAAAGTGTGACTGTCAAGTAATTCTTAAGGAAGCAAAACAGGGAGAAAAGGCTGACGTAGGCCAAATTACACAAGAATGGGAAAGAACATCAGTGAAAAAAGGTCACATGTAGAGATGAATCCAAATTGAAAATTGAATTTAAAAAAATTATGGTTCAAATCATCAATGTATTTAGGAAAGAGGTCAGGAGAGGTACAGCAGTGAGTTTTACAGCCATCTGTAAAACACAATGGGGGCTCTGTCATATTTTGATTATCCCTGAAGGCTACTGAAAGAAATTTCAAGGAAGCCTATCTAAGAGAAGAGTCATACCAAATATTGACTTTAAGGTTTGTTAAAATTCCACAAAACTTTTTTGGTGTGTGTATTTAGCAAATAGTTGCATACTTCTACATTTCACAGTGGCTGCGATTTCTCTTGAATAAAATAAAGCCTCGTTATTTCATCATCAGCTCAAATTCCTGTGGTTTCTCAGGTTACAGCAGTTGATCACACATGTCCAACATTTCAACACAACACCTACCTGATGCAATTGCCTGGACACTCCCACTAAAATGTGTCAATAAAAAGAGACGATTGTGGGGGCAACTTCTGACAGAGTAGTTATTCCAAGGATTTGACCACATTCAAGAGGAAAAATGGTGCAGTATGAAGTGGCCGTGCTCACTGGTGATCGCCTTAATTCCACTACTCTTAACAATGTCTTCATTAAGCTGGTGGGTACAGATGGGGAGAGTGATCGCACGTGGCTCATGGGCTTGAAAGGGGCTACATCCTTTGTCAGAGGAGCTGTAAGTCTGAAATATGCATCTTCATGATTAAATGTATCTCAGGTTTCCTGTATGAGATGATACACAGATGAAATCATTTTTGTGGAAATAAGGGGAATCTATCACCATGAAGATGGTCAAAGCAAACAGTTCACTTCATGGACCAAAGTAAATTATAACAGGAATTGTATGCTCGAGTGTTACAGCTCAGCACAAATTGCTATGTCATTCTTTAGGTATCAAAGTTTAAGGTGTCCTGCCCCACTTCGCTTGGAAATCTTGTGCTGATAGAGTTAGACAAACAATCTCTCCCACTGTTCCCGGAGGACGCTTGGTTTTGTGCCAAGGTGGAAGTGAAATCCCCTGAAGGAGACATCTACAGCTTTCCCATCTACCGCTGGATTGCTGATAGCAAGGTGCACCGCTTCAGGGATGGAAAAGGTTTGGGAAACTGTGCTCATCTTAAATCTTGTTCTGTAGTTACAAACCAGTGAGGACAACAAAAATCTTGTAATGAGACTAAAGCAGTTTTCCAATATACCACATTCACAAGAAACCCTTTTTCTTTCTTTCTTTCTTTTCTTTTTTTTTTTATAGCTCTGAGAGTCTTTGAAGACAACCATCATCTTGGCAGGTACAGTCGGCAGCAGGAGATTCAGCAGCGAGAGGAAGACTATCGGTGAGAATTCAGAGCTTATACACATTTTAGCCTTACAGCTCCTGAAACTGGAATACAAATGCTGTCCAGTTATAGCTGAATATCCTAATACTAAACCTAAAGCTTAAATATATTTAAGCATTAAATTAAGCATTACAGCATATTCTTTGTCTGCTGGGATTAATTTAAAAAAAATTAAACTATTACATATGTTGCAGATAAAAAGTATATCATGTCATACTGTAACTAACTTCCTCATCATCGCTGTTTCTTTGTCTCATCAGCTGGGATGCATATGCAGAGAAAATGTCTCACTCCATGAAGGCAGAAAACCCATTTTCACTCCCGTATGAGGTTCAGTTCTCCTTCACCAAAACTAAAGAGTTTCTCTACACTGCTTCCACAGGGTGAAGTTCTGTTACACATATTTTTCTCTTTACTCTTTACTCCTCTGTCACTGTGCCCCAGGGCGGCTGTGGCTATACAGTAGCTTGCCATCACCAGTGTGTGAATGTGTGTGTGAATGTGTGGATGATTGTGTATAGTGTAAAGCGCTTTGGGGTCCTTAGGGACTAGTAAAGTGCTATACAAATAGGCTACAGGCCATTTACCATTTACCATATTTTTCTCTTTACTTATCAAAAGTATGTTAAGTATCACAATCAAGTTAAATAAATGTGCTCTTCTGTTTCAGACTGACTGAGCTGAAGCTGAAGGGACTGGATAACTGTAAGAAGAAGTGGGATAATATTGACAGCATCAATCGAGTGTTGTGCTGCAAAAAGACTGACATATCAGGTACTGTACTAACATCATAGCATAATGGAGTCCTTATACAGTATGCACTCTATGCAATAATGAGCTGAATATTGGGCAGCCTGTTCTGTAAACCATCTATATTCTTACCAGAGAAATCGGACTTTTCTTTTACAGTTCACGTAATGAAGACTCTCAGACCCTGAACTTCTGACATTAATTCAGAAATTTAGCAGAATTTAGTAGCTCACAGTTTCAAAAATAATAAGTTAAATGTCTCTTTTTCACAGAATATGTTCATGAACACTGGAAAGAGGATGCTTTCTTTGGCTACCAGTTTCTAAATGGTGTCAACCCCATGTTGATTCAGCTTTGTACAGCCCTGCCCAGTAACTTCCCTGTCACTGATGACATGGTCTTTCCCCATGGCCAGTGCACCCTTGCACATGAAATGAAGGTGATCATCTGAATTCTTTATAATAAATTTATTTTTTGTCAAATAATTGTACTTGTACAGTCACTGACTAAATATTATATCCACACTGTTGCAATATCCTGAACTTTCAAACAGAAAGGGAACATATTCCTGTGTGACTACAAGCGTCTGGATGGAGTAAAAGCAAACACCATCAATGGGAAGAAGCAGTACTTGATGGCTCCTCTCGTCCTGCTCCACAAAGATCCTCATGATAAGCTAATGCCGATTGCCATTCAGGTAATTCAGACAGTAAGGTTTAAGTTCGTGTATTTATCAGCTCATCAGTAGAGATAGCACACCTGTTAATGTGTAAAGCAATTGTTCATGTACAACGTCATTGTAAAATCAAAATATAAGGATATTCTATTTGCAACCATAGCTAGTACCATATCTGAACACCAGCTGTGAAGTGTTTTTGCTGAGCCTTAGCCTTGTGAAAGTTCATCCCATAGCAGTATCCAGATTGCTGAATGCAGAGTCTGACACGTACATAAATCAAGTCAGTTTCATTTATGGCGCCAAAATCACAAACAGCCTTCCCAGTTCATTCTGTACAATACACTCACACAGATGCAACATATTTACTGAGCAGAGAGAGATAGCATCAGTAAAAACTAATTAAAAGCTAATTAAAAGCATCATGTAAAGCTGTTCAGAAGAAATGCTCTGTCAGAAAGGATTCAGTGGAAATTCCCCATAAGGGATCAGCAGAGTATCAAACTTTAAAGATAAACTTGTCAAACATAGAACAGGAACTGAAATTTCATCAGTCTTGATCAGTAATTGATTTTAGGAGCATACTTGATCATCTGTATCAAATGACTACTCTGCCCTGTCCTTCTGTAGCTGAAGCAGACTCCATCAGATGACAATCCGATCTTTCTTCCTACTGATTCTGAGTACGACTGGTTGATCGCCAAGATTTTTGTAAGAAGTGCAGATTTCAATGAGCATCAGCTCAATGTTCACCTTCTGCGCACGCACTTGCTGGCTGAGGTTTTTGCAGTGTCACTGCTGCGCAATGTGCCCATGGTGCATCCTCTGTACAAGGTAACTGACGTTTGCTGAAACTTCAGTTTGTTTTATGCCATTATTTCAGTGGTGTGGAAAGCATTTCTCTATAACGGCTGGTTGTGGACAATAAAATGAAGTGTTGCCCCAATCATGTCACTAACCGAGTTCCCTCTTTCCCGCAGCTCCTCAAACCTCACACGCGCTACACTATGCAGATCAACTTCTTAGCTCGGCGTCTTCTAATTTCTGACACTGGCAATTTCACTCAGGTATGCAGTACGACCAGCACACTTATGGCGTAAAAACTGTTTCCGCAAGTGCAAATGTTGAATTTTAGGGAGAAAATTACTTTGAGCGGAGAAAAGTTTAATTTGACCAAACAAAATTAACTGCTGCATGCAGTATGTGTGATAAGTATGTTATTTTATTTGAAAATATAAAATGTTTTAAGTCCATTGTTGGTTTTAATCTAGTTTAAACCAAACCACTCTATTGGATTTAGCTACACTTTGGACAGTGTTTCCGGAATGCTGTGGCTAGCGAGCTGATTGGAGACCAAAACAGCAAATCAGAATTGTTGCGTCCAAGTCTGTGATTGGTTTGTTTTGTGGCACATACGCACTGAGAGCAGGCCTACAGATGTCCGTCAGCACACAGAGCAGAGATCTGAGCAAGAGCAAATGCCAACAACCGAGTGGCTGTTATTGTGTGTGTAAATGGATAATAGCAAACACTGAAATGCATTTCTTGCACACAGCAATGAATTTTGTTCACTCAAATTAAACTTTTCTTCAATCAAAAATATTTTTCTTCTCAAAATGCAACAACAACACTTTTTTTTTTCTCTTTTTGTAACGTGCGCTCAGAGTAGAGGCACAAAAATAACACCATACACACTCACTAGACCTTTACCTTAAGAATTGTTTTTCTTTTTCAGTGTCATGTACAACATTTGTCTCTAACTGTGAGCTACCCATTCTCTAGTTTGCATCATCAGGTGGAGAGGGCATGTTTACCATCCTACAGAGGTCAGTGTCCTCATTAACCTACAGCTCCCTCTGCATACCTGATGACATTGCTGAACGTGGCGTGGAGGCTGTGCCAAACTTCTACTACAGGGATGATGGACTAAAGGTTTGGGATATCATCCACAGGTACCACACTTTCTTTTCTTTTGATTTTGATTTTCTCCTAATGATGCCATCAAGCTGCAACAATTCAGAGTTTGTAAATAATGGGTCATCCTATCTTAAATCAGCATAAAAAACTGATCTGGTCTTTCTCCACAGTATTGGCTGGTTAAAATATGAAAATCAATAAATAAAAGCCTCCTGTAAAGTCATATATTTGAGCACACAGTAATAACAAACTTTCCTTTGCAAAAGACAACAATGACAATTTCTTTGCACAGCGTGTAAAGCACATGGTGTAAAGCATTGGTCTCATTGTCTGTTTGCTTTTTGTTTTTTGTATTTATGGTCTTCATTGGTGAAGGAATTGAATTAAGAGATGTCTTTGTGCTGGCTAACCGATTTGTTATCATTGTCATTAATATTATTTCAAATCTCCAATGTGGACAGAAAAAGACAGATACGTTACACCTTTTCTATGTACCTTTTTTAACTAGATTTCTTTGTTTTATTGCAAAAGCTTTCTTTTGTGAATGTCACATTTGAGTGTGGCTTGCATAACACCTCTTCTTCTAGTCTTTGCCAACATTTTCCTTGCATCAGTTTTTTCGGTTAGTCTGTTTTTTAACCTTCATTGACCAACAAGTAAAACTTATGAGATCTGTTTTGCAAGAGTATCCTGAGCCTGTTCTTTAATAGTGTATGTTTAAACAAGTTATGTCCCTTTGTATATCAGTAGCTGTCACCACATGTACAGCCTGCCTTGATCTTATTAAACAACATTTAGATTTCTGTTGAAACTAAAATGCCTCTAAACTGAGAGATGTGTCTGCTACTTACAGAAGCCTACCTTCACTAAGTTAAATTATAAACACTTGGTGTGTTGATCGTGAACCTGTAACCTCCCTATTTTTAATCAGGACAAGGTACTTTGTGCCATTTATTTTTATGTAGTTTTTGAAACAAAAGAATTAGGGCAAATACAATTTTTTATTATTTAAATAATCCTGGAGCAGTTTGTGTACAAATAATAAAAACATGTTTTACACAGTGTATTCCCATTTCTCAAAGGTCTGTGCAGGGAATGCTCGGCTACTACTACAAGAGTGACCGTGAGGTCCAGGAGGACTCTGAACTTCAGAAGTGGATTTTGGACATTTTTGAACATGGGTTCCTTTCTCAAGCAGAAACAGGTGAGTTTCAATTACTATCTTCAATTATTATGATGATAGTGGTGATTTCTCCATACTATATATTGCAACCTAAACCTAAAGGAATGATGCTGTTATTTCAGGAATTCCTCAGACATTTACCAGTGTGACTGAGTTGATCAAGTTTGTCACCATGGTGATCTACACCTGCTCAGCCCAGCATGCAGCTGTGAACAGTGGACAGGTGAGTTCTTATATTATCCCAATAATGAAAAAAATGGCACAGTTTACAATGTCAATAAAAACACGATCAATGTAATGGTCTGCAAATCTCAAAAACCCTAATTTTATTCACAATAGAACATAAAAAACATCACATGCCTCCCTAAGACGCTCTTTTTATAGTCAGTCATGTTACTGACAAGTTGTAGCTTATGAAACATTTCTCCCAAAATCAAATGAACTCATTGTCATGCAAAGGGAAAATGTAAATAATTGTATGAATAATACCATACAACAGCAGGAAGGTAACAACAATATTAAAAAACAAAGACAGAATTAAAAACTATGCTTTTTAATCTTAGTAAATCCTTTACTTATTCATTAAATACAGTTTGACTATGCTGGCTGGATGCCCAACACTCCCATCTCCCTGCAACTCCCACCACCGACCAAAAAGGGGACGACAAGCGAGGCCACGATGTTGGCCACCTTCCCTGATGTCAACGTAACAGTTCAGGGCATGGCCACCGTGTGGCTCCTCAGCAAGCAGTCCAGTGACTTTGTAAGGAGCAAAGATTTCATTAAGAATGTCAGAAATTATGTTTACAGTAAATTTTTGTGAATAATTTTGAGTTATTTTGACAAAAATTTGAATGTTGTTGAAGAAAAACTAAATGTATCACTGTTCTCATTAGGTCCCTCTTGGCCAGTACCCAGAGGACCACTTCACTGAGGAGATTCCTCGCAAGATATTAAAGGATTTTCAGACGGAGCTTGAAATTTTGAGTGGAGTCATCAAAGCCAGAAACAAGCACTTAAACGTGCCATACACCTACATGGATCCAGCAGTGGTAGAAAACAGTGTGGCCATTTGAATATTAGAAGATAAGAAGACAAATTTAGCTTTTCAAGCGAAAGCAGGGAAAGAAATGCAAGTTCTGAGTTTTACTGATGAAATGGCGCAACGAACTTACTGCTTCTGATCATTGTATGCTGATTTGCGATTTTTACTTATCTGTTGAAATATGTCTGGGTAACATTTTCATCACTCTATGAGAGTGTCTGCTCTGAGCCAGAGTCTTACTAAAACTTTACCAAATTACATTGCTTATATTTTCATTATTTTAATGTTTTGTTGTGTTTCTCCCACACAGATTTGTTTTATTCATTAAAAATATATTGCATTACTCCCAAATCAACAAGCATTGTTATTCTGTTATTGAATTAGTCCTTGACCTTTGTTTTAATCACCAAAAATAAGCACTGTTTTATGCTTTTATGCCTTAACACAATAAAAGTTTTTTTTTTGTTCATTTATTTATTTATTTATGGAACAGCTATTTGGTGTCTGGTATAATATTAACATCATAAATTCTGTCTAAAGCTTTATTTTAGCTAACGTGCACTTTCTACATTGTAGAATCATTTTTAAATTCTAGTTTTGTTGTACAGTGGGGCAAAAAAGTATTTAGTCAGCCACCGATTGTGCAAGTTCCCCCACTTAAAATGATGACAGAGGTCAGTAATTTGCACCAGAGGTACACTTCAACTGTGAGAGACAGAATGTGAAAAAAAAAAATCCATGAATCCACATGGTAGGATTTGTAAAGAATTTATTCGTAAATCAGGGTGGAAAAGAAGTATTTGGTCAATAACAAAAATACAACTCAATACTTTGTAACATAACCTTTGTTGGCAATAACAGAGGTCAAACGTTTACTATAGGTCTTTACCAGGTTTGCACACACAGTAGCTGGTATTTTGGCCCATTCCTCCATGCAGATCTTCTCGAGAGCAGTGATGTTTTGGGGCTGTCGCCGAGCAACGCAGACTTTCAACTCCCGCCACAGATTTTCTATGGGGTTGAGGTCTGGAGACTTGCTAGGCCACTCCAGGACTTTCAAATGCTTCTTACAGAGCCACTCCTTTGTTGCCCGGGCGGTGTGTTTTGGATCATTGTCATGTTGGAAGACCCAGCCTCGTTTCATCTTCAAAGTTCTCACTGATGGAAGGAGGTTTTGTCTCAAAATCTCACGATACATGGCCCCATTCATTCTGTCCTTAACACGGATCAGTCGTCCTGTCCCCTTGGCAGAAAAACAGCCCCATAGCATGATGTTTCCACCCCCATGCTTCACAGTAGGTATGGTGTTCTTGGGATGCAACTCAGTAATCTTCTTCCTCCAAACACGACGAGTTGAGTTTATACCAAAAAGTTCTACTTTGGTTTCATCTGACCACATGACATTCTCCCAATCCTCTGCTGTATCATCCATGTGCTCTCTGGCAAACTTCAGACGGGCCTGGACATGCACTGGCTTCAGCAGCGGAACACGTCTGGCACTGCGGGATTTGATTCCCTGCCGTTGTAGTGTGTTACTGATGGTGACCTTTGTTACTTTGGTCCCAGCTCTCTGCAGGTCATTCACCAGGTCCCCCCGTGTGGTTCTGGGATCTTTGCTCATCGTTCTCATGATCATTTTGACCCCACGGGATGAGATCTTGCGTGGAGCCAGTGCCAGTGCCAGGATTGTGAGTGATTGCTGAAAATGTTGAAATGTACTCACTCACTTTTTATTATTATTTGTAAATATGTGTACAAATGGTTGGTTTTTTTGTACTGTTTTTATCAATAAATCTCAGCAACAAAGGAAATACACCCATGTGTGTTGATTTCTCCCTAAGACGGCAAACTGAAACACTCCAAGTTGGTGACTTTTGGAGATTTATTTCCCTGGATGATTGAGAATGCATCAAGATGAAACACAAAAGGAAGTTCACAGCTTTTAGCAGCTCCCCCACCCCCTCAATCACACACCTCCACTCCCCTCCCTCCAGAATTCCCAGGTAACAACCCAATTTACATATGAATGACTAGCCAATTTAGCTTCCACTTGGCTGAAGCTAAAGCTTAGCTAAAAGCCATTTGGCTGCTCTCCGGGTTTTAAAGGTAGAAAAAGCCAAATGGCAGTCCGTGGTGATGTAAGTGTTTTAAACGATATGCATATTGCACTGATTCTGTGCCAAGCCATTTAATCAGCAAATCCAGTTCCTCACTGGCCGTTAGGTTTAAGTCACAAATTGCATTCTCAAACGAAGATTTCCATCCCCAGTAATCTCCTGCCTTGTCACTGAACCTTCGGAGGCCACCAGTGAGTAAGTCGCGTCTTGCCAGAAACCTGGCTATGTCAGAAATGTTTCCTTGTTGCATGCTCACCTTATGTTCAAATCTCGGTGAAGTACCTGGTGACATTTTCTGCATTTATTTCGGAGACTGGGAAACGTTTTCTCCTTTGTCAGTACTCAGAGGTTGAAGGACATATTCCTTTAAGGTGTCCGACCTGGTTGGCTCTTGTTTTGGCGTGAGGAATGTGACATTTGGTGCAGGCATTGAATTATACTCGGTATGGCCAATTGGGCTTGTGCTGTCTTTGATGATGAGCTGGTCTTTCACATAGTTAAAGGTGCGTTCCAAAGTGTCAACCCTTTGAGGTACACTCACGTGTTCAAATTCAAATTCAAATTCAAATTTTATTTGTCACGTACACAGTCATACACAGTACGATATGTAGTGAAATGCTTGGACAACTGCTCATGACCTAAAGAAAACAAAAAAGGAAAGGCTATGAATAAGATATATAAAAAATATGAAAAATTAAAAAGGGTAAATTTAATTAGGAAGGAATAAAATATAAATTAAGGTTAAAAATGAAATAACTGTACAACACAAATTAGAATGAAGGGTAAATTTAACTGGGAAGAATAAGATAAAATATATAAATTAAAGTTGAAAATAAAATAACTGTACAACAAAATACACAATACACAATATAGAACTATATAAGAATGTATGAAGAAATCTAAATATAAATAAATATATACACAATAACAGCAGCTGTACAAGTATTAACTGGAAATGAAGAATATAGTGACCAGTGTTGTGCAAAAACAAAGTCCAGAAAGTCCAGTGTGTGTGTAAGAACCATATGTGTGGGTCAGTACTGTGTGGTGGTGTGATTGAGAGACCGTATCGCCTGCGGGAAGAAGCTCCTCCTCAGTCTCTCTGTGTTGGTCTTCAGGGAGCGGAATCGCTTTCCTGACCTCAACAGAGAGAACAGTCTGTTGTTGGGATGGCTGAGGTCCTTCACGATCTTCCTGGCCTTGGTCCAGCACCGCCTGCTGTAGATTGAGTGCAGGTCAGGGAGCTCGGAGCGGATGGTGCGCTGAGCTGACCGCACAACCCTCTGTAGAGCTCGTCTGTCCTGCATGGTGCTGTTCCCGAACCAGGTTAAGATGTTTCCCGCCAGGATGCTCTCTATGGTGCACGAGTAAAAGTTCCTGAGCACCTTGGAGGGCAGTTGGAAGTCTCTCAAGCGTCTGAGGTGGTAGAGACGCTGTTGGGCCTTTTTCACCACGGTGTTGATGTGACAGGACCATGACAGGTCCTGCGTGATGTGAACTCCGAGGTATTTGAAGCTGTCCACTCTCTCCACTGGGCACTCATTGATGACGGGGGTATGGTAGTTCCTCTCCTGCTTAGTGCTGAAGTCCACTATCAGCTCCTTTGTCTTACTGGCGTTTAGAAGGAGGTTGTTCCTCTGGCACCAGTTCTCCAGATTCCTAATCTCCTTCACGTAGGCCGTCTCGTTGTTATCAGAGATCAGGCCCACCACGACGGTGTCGTCAGCAAACTTGATGATGGTGGTGGAGCTGGTAGTGGCCACACAGTCATATGTGTACAAAGAGTACAGCAGGGGGCTCAGAACACACCCCTGGGGGGCTCCAGTGCTGAGAGTGGTGGAGGCTGAGACATGTCCGCCCATCCTTACTGCCTGTGGTCTGCCAGTTAGGAAGTTGGAGATCCACTGACACATAGATGAGCTGAGTCCCAGATGCTCCAGCTTGGTGGTGAGTGTGGAGGGAATTATGGTGTTAAATGCAGAGCTGTAGTCTATGAAGAGCATTTTAACATAATTCCCCCTTCTAGTGTCCAAGTGAGTGAGTGATGTGTGGAGGAGATGAGAGATGGCATCGTCTTTTTTTTTTTTAATTCATATTTTTATTAAGGTTTCAAAAGCAGGCATTCACAGTATGTACATCATGTAAGCATTCTTCATACTTAGGTTATCTGCCTTAAATACTGAAATAGTATTTTAATTTACATCCAAGTCATAAGGGAAGAATACTTACAACGATAGAAGTAATTGAAACCATCACATAATCCGAAAATCAAAAAACAAAAAACAAAACTAACAAACCTAAGAAAAGAGAAAAAAAACCAAAAAAAAACACGGATGTGTTGGTATGGGGTGATCCTATAAATATATATACATACATCATAATTATTGGTTTGTAATAGTAAAATCTGGCCTATGAGGCGTGATATATTTAACCCAGTTTTCCCAATATGATGTAAATTTCTCCAGCTTGTGGTTAACAGAAGCTGTTATCTTTTCCATGTTATAAATTTCCATTGTGATTTCCATCCATGTACTTATGTTTGGGCTCTCTGGGGATAACCATTTTCTGGTGATATTCTTTTTACAGGCCACCAATAAAATATTTATTAAATGTTTATCATATTTAGGCCATTCCTGAGGTATATATCCAAAGAACATAGTCTTACTCTCGAGAGGTATTTCACGTTTAAAGATATCCTGTAAGGCATTATGTATTTCTCTCCAATAATCCCTCAAGATTGAGCAGTCCCAGAAAATATGGTAATGATTTGCACTTTGATTTCCACAGTTCCTCCAACAAGCAGGGGGGTTATCATCATAATGAGACTTCTGAGAAGGTGTTATAAAGTATCTAATTAGGCACTTCCAGCCAAATTCCCTCCACTTTTGTGAGCTGGTACACATCCACTGATATCTCCATATTGCCGTCCATTCTTCCTCTAATATTTTTATCCCTCCTTCCTTCTCCCATTTTGTTCTAATATATGAAGTCGAATGTGGTTTCAAATCCATTAGACCCTTATAGAGACATGATACAATTCTATCAATAGTTTCTGAGTTATAGCTTTTTATAAACAGTTCCATCAAGCGTGTGTTTATCATTGTTACGTTTCTCATCTTCGTGTCGGCATAGTGCCTTAACTGCAGATATCGATAGAAGTCTTCTTTTTCTAATGAAAATGTTTTTCTAAGCATGTCAAAGCTGAACAATTTTCCATCCTTCATTATACTGCACAGGGCTGTTATGCCCTTACCTGTCCAGTCCTTGAATCTAGAATCCAGTTCATTAGGTTTGAACTCTGAGTCGTAAGCACACCATTTAAGAA